CCCTAATGATGTCCACGACCCCAATGTCCCCCATGTCCCCTTGTCCCCCCATGTCCCCATAGGTGGCTGGTGCTCGACACGGCCACGCAGCAGCCCCTGGCGGGGGGCTCTGATGGGAACGAGCAGCTCTCGGTGGTGCGGTTCTCCCCGGGTGAGACCCCCAACCCCGACCCGCATGGGGGGATCCCTGTGTGTCCCCCACCATGTCCCCAACCCCATTTTCCATCCCCTTTCCACATCCCCAACCCCATTTCCTGTCCCTACCCCATTTCCCATCCCTTTTCGTCATCCCCAACCCCATTTGCCGTCACATTTCCTGTCCCCAGTCCCATTCCCAATCCCATTTCCTGTCCACAATCCCATTTCCTATCCCATTTCTGTGTCCCCTACCCCATTTCCTGTTCCATTTCCCATCTCCAATCCCATTTCCCATCCCATTTCCTGTCCCAAATCCCATTTCCCATCCCATTTCCTGTCCCCATTTCCATTTCCCATCCCCAACCCCGTTTCCTGTCCCATTTCCCATCCCATTTCCCGTCCCTAACCCCATTTCCGATCCCCAATCCCATTTCCCATCCCCTTTCCTGTCCCAAATCCCATTCTCCATCCCATTTCCTGTCCCCATTTCCATTTCCCATCCCCAACCCCGTTTCCTGTCCCATTTCCCATCCCATTTCCCATCCCCAACCCCATTTCCCATCCCATTTTCCATCCCCAACCCCATTTCCCGTCTCCAACCCCACTTCCACATCTCAAATCCCATTTGCCATCCCGTTTCCTGTCTCCAACCCCATTCCCATGTCCCAAATCCCATTTGCCATCCCACTTCCCATCCCCAACCCCACTTCCTGTCCCATTTCCCATTCCCAACTCCATTTCCCATCCCCAACCCCACTTCCCATCCCATTTCCCATCCCCAACTCCACTTCTCATCCCACTTCCTGCCCCATTTCCCATCCCATTTCCCATCCCCAACCCCACTTCCCATCCCCAACCCCACTTCCTGCCCCACTTCCCGCCCCACAGACGGCTCCTTCCTGGCCATCGGCTCCCACGACAACTTCATCTACATCTACAGCGTGGCCGAGGACGGCCGCAAGTTCACCCGCTTCGGGCGCTGCGTGGTGAGAACTCGGGGTGGGGGGTCCCGGGGGGGGTCCCCACTGCCCCTGACCCCCACTTTTACC